ACATTATTATTGTGTAACAATCTAATTATTCAAAATATACATTAAGAAAATATATTTTATATATTAAGTACTTGGGTGAAGTGTTGTGTTTTAATTATAAATCAGCTTTCAAACCAACAAATAAATAAATCAGCCAATGTGATGAATGCTAACCTTTATGGACCAACATTTACTGATTAACTGGAAAAATAACTGAGAAATTAAGGGATAATAAAAATAACTGTTGAATGTAGCACAAAGCATAAAGTAACAGGGATTAAAGTCAAAACTTTCTGCATGAAACAAAACTAAAATTGAACTTTGATTTGAAAAAGAAAAGTTGAACACATATGGCTGAAGTTGTGTTCGCTGTGAGCGTTTGTGTGTGTTTGTTACCTTCGCTCTTCTCCAGCAGTGCTGCTATGACAGCTTCGTCCTCTATAGGGTTGAGTGAACAGGTGGAGTAGACCATCCTCCCTCCCACAGCCAGCTGTTCAACCCCGCGCACTGCAATCCGCAGCTGGAGCCTGGTGAAAGGACGGACACACACACACACACACACACAACACACACACACACACACACACACACACACACACACACACACACACACACACACACAAAAACTGTAATAGAGCCAACTTTTCTAATTAGCACCCAAAGAAACACACTCCATTCCCTTGTTGTTTAGTCAATTTAGTCTACCACACAAGTGCATGAAATCCTGTGTTGTCACGGAAATAGGAGCACACACTCTTCCCACTCACCCGTGGAGGTGCAGGCTGTTGCTAGTCGTCCATTTCTTCCACACGTCTATGTTCTTCCTCATGGTGCCGTCCCCGCTGCAGAAACACAGAGCAAACATCAGCACCACTCAGACATATTCCCAGTTTGGCCCGAGGTGCCGAAACCACCAGGCAAAAAAAATATATATATATGTGTGCGAAGCACAAACTGTCTAAATGCCGGGCTTTAGCTGACTGCTAACATCACTGCTGCCTGCCTCTGTCTTCATTACTGCTTTTCTTCCTCTCCCTCTGTTGTGTTTGGCAGGGACTCCTGGCTCCAGCACTGCAGCTGGCCAAACTCAGGCTGTAGACCCTGCTGCTCACAGCAATTGCAAACTAACGCAGTTCTGCTTTGACCACAAAATGACACTAGACTTAAAGTGAAGCAGGGATACACCAGGGTAATTCCATGTATGATGTGGATGCATGATTGACCACTTATCCCGTACAGAAACATGAAGAAAATAAATAGTAAAACATTAATAACAACCATATATAAGGACCTGTATATATCTTGAATTCGACAGACATCTCCGTCTGTCACACACAGAATCTTCTCTCCAGCCAAACACCCACACATACAGCAGAGCTCATCAACCATATTTTTGTTTTTATCCACTTCCTCATCACATTTCCCAACTCTCCTGCAGCGCTGTAGCACCCATCAGTGCAGACACGCCCTGCGGCTGTTTACTGACCTACAGGGCACGTCACACAGAATGCGATCGTAGAAGAGGACGTCTTTCTTGCCGTCCGAGTTGATCTGCAGTGTGGGGATGCAGGACGCGTCGTGGTTGACCACCATGATGCAGGGGCTGTTGAGACGCTTGGCCTGGTGCACCAACAGGTAGCAGCGCTTGTTGTCCACGTCGTTGGCAATTACAAAGCCCTCTGGTAGATGGAGGCGTAGATTAGAATTACAAACGGTTAATGCAGGGTCACAGTGGCCGGGAACACTGTTAAATGCCTGTTATATTATACTGTGTAGTATTAGAATTAGTTCAAGTTTTTTTTAAATTTCATATAAATATATCAGTGATCATAATATCTATTCAGGTTCAAACGTGTGCTTCTTACCTGGAAATGGCACATCCATGTCAGCATGGAGCATCTCAATCAGTTGGGCTGTTTTTGACCCTGGAGCTGCGCACATGTCCAGAATCTGCACACAAACACATGCGCATCAGTACTTCAAACAAGGTTCTTTTTATAAGCACAGCTGTTTCCAAGGGCCCAAAGGAAGAAAATAAAATAACAAAAAAAAAAAGAAAATGCATTAAGTACTGACAGATTTAACCTTCAAAAGAAGGCAGCTCTTTTTTTACCTTGTGGTGGGGCTCAATCTTCAGGAGCAGAGGAGGGATCATACTGACAGCCTCCTGTCGACTGATATTCCCCTGCAAGGACAAACATAAAAATTACGGCGGCCTCTTCATTTCTCTGACAACTTCTGACATTTTGTTTTCTCTATGTTTTTTCAACTCCTTATCCAGAGTTATTATTTCTATTAAATATTGTGTTTGGTTTGTGTTACACTCACAGACTCCGTCTCGCTGACCAGAAACTGGTGGAACTTCTCCAGCAGCGGAGACTTCCTGATGATTTTCCTGCTCATGTTAGTGTGCCAGGCCTGATCATCGGGATACCTGGAGAAGACAGACACGGTGCGTACTGAGTTTCAGGTTTGAATATGTGATGCCTTTCAGCGTTGGGTAAACCATGTGAGACCTTACCAGCTCAGAGCCTGTGGAGCCTCGATCTTCTGGCCATCGATCTCCAGCTCCTGAATATCCTTGAAGTATTTTTCCTTCAGACAGTGGAGGATCTCCTTGGCGTGGCTGGATCAAGGCAGAGAGGTGCAGAAATATGGCATATGGTAAGTGAAGTAGCTACAAATATTTGCGTCAAGCAGCAGTGGGAGACCTTAGGTCAAGAGCCTGCAGGGTTAATAGGCTGTAACATATGATAAAAATGAGCAAAGTTGCAGGTTTACTTCCAACACGTCAACTTTCATTCTTGCCTTAGTCTTTTATATGAGGCTTTTCTGTCATCACATGCTGCTGTCCGATGGCAAGCTCTTAAAAGCATTGTACAAATTCAGCTACAAAGTGTAAGCCTTCTCATTTAACAGCTAAATTACCAAATCTAACCTTCTCTCATCACCTACCCTACATCTAAATATAAGGCTGACGATGTGAGCCCCTGACCGGGTAATAATTTATTAGTGACCTTAATAATTCAGAAAAGCCTTGAATTATTATCTGTGATGTGTGTACATTTACCAGTGAGCAGAGGCATGTAAATTTGACAACCTCTTGCTTTATGTCTAGCATGCACAAGACAAAGAGTATGAATCCAGGTTAGAAATATGTCCAGCTGACCTCTTGTATCCAGTGATGCGGATGGTTGCTGGCAGCGGTTCCCTCATTGCCTCCATAAACTGTTCAAACTCTCCCTCAGGCACCAGGCCTTGCTCCTTGTAGTAGTGCTCGAAAAGCTTATTCTCCTTCACAATGTCAGCATAGCCAGCTCCCCAGCCCTGAACACAAGGATGTGTGGTCATTAGTACGGGCCATATACACTCAACTGCCAGTTTATTGGGTAAACCTGGCTCACACTAATGCAGTCTAATACAAGAGTCCTATGATAAATTATACTGTTGTATTACACTGCAGTAGTTTTAGCTTGGCGTATCTAATAAACTGGCAGCTGAGTGTATAATGACTATTTGAACTGCTGTACAGAATAACCAGATAAGCACCAATAAATGGAGATGAAATCATTTGAAAAGGTTACATTAAATGTCATTCAAAAATGTGTCAATTTAATTTTTTCTTGCTCATGGTCAAGGATAGACAACGTGTAGAACATGACATAAGATCTGTTACATTTTAGTATGGTCTAATCATCAATTCGGCCTTTAGTAATCAACAAACTAGTACTTATTTCAATTACTTTTTGGAGTTTAAACCAACGTTTCCTTACTTGTACGCATGGCCATATAAAATCAATACATTTCTGAGCGAAGTCTGGCAAAGCCTCACAATCTCTACCGACAAAAAAAATAAGTACAAATGTGGGCTGAGATTATAAAGGTGATAGAGGTTGGTCACCCATATGGCTTAGAAAATATCTTAATTAAGGGTAGCTAACGGTAAAGCTCTCTGGTGTTGCAGATGTTAAACAGTGTCATGGCAACATGACTATATAAGGTTAGTAAAGATAAGCACCCTCCAAAAAATCCCTGATTTCGCCTCGGCTCCATTCGCATTAACTACATTTAAATACAGGTGCTGATATGTGGCCTGGCTGAGCAACTCATACTAGCAAGAGTTGCAGCAGCAGAAGTGTAAATCTTACAGCGTTGTCTCTGCTGTCCCTGCCGGCAGTCTGGTTTTTCTGCCGCTGCCTGCTTCTTTTCCCCATCTTGGAAAAGCACACAACTCTGGAGAAAAGTCTGTGGAACGACGTAATGGGTGGATGCAGAGAAACGTGACCTGCAACTCGGATAAAATGTAAATCTACTGAGCGTTTGAGGATGCAGTGCTACGCTGTGCTGTGTATCCTCGAAACGTGTTGCCTCTGACGCACGTGAATCAGGACCTCTCGAGGTGGCCACGAAATCTGCCTGACATAAAAAAAAAAACACCTTCGGGGCAGTTCGGGATGTTTCGTTCGATTTCAGAAACATTTTCACCCCAAAATATGATTTTGCTTTTAATCGCTTTAGCGCTATATTTACTTATTACACTGAACGAGATTCGCATTAAACAAAACATCGTTTACTTCTTCCTCTTTTTTTTTTCTTTCTTTTTTTTTTTTACATTATTAGGGCTGTGTTTACTCCAGCTTGAATGTAACATTACTAGGGTACAAGTGTACACTTTTCTTGTCAACCAGGTAACCAGGTCAACGTCTACAGCATGTAATATATGTAAATTGATCTATGAATATTTATCAGTGACATCAGAGGCCACACCACATTGAATGACTTCCATGTAAATCCGAACATTTTGATTGGTTGATAAGATTCGATACCATATCTGTTCAGGCATTGTGATTGGTCCGAGCTGATGGGGATGGGGATGGGGAAAGTGAGTCGCGTGCATGTACTGTATACCATCCGTTGCAGTGTTAGCTAGTGATACCCCACACTCTCATATTGTTCCAAATATTAGCTACATTTACACTGTTTCCCTTTTTTTCTTTTGTAATTTTAACTCTCCCGCCGTTATGGATGCTGTCCTCTCCAGTCTCTTCTCCTCGGAGGAGGAGGAAGTGTACATTTTGGACCGTATGGCTTACTTTATGGTTTTCATGGCAGCCTGCACTTTGGTTACGTTGCTCTTCGAAAATGTCCCGTACGGACGATATGCTAGCAGCAAATATGGATTTCCAGTTAATGTCAGGTTTGCCTGGTTCGTTCAGGAGATGCCCGCTTTCCTTGTGCCTCTGTGTCTGGTAGTTTGGACCTCCTCTGCGAAAACCTCACTGTTGCCCAATCAGCTGCTCATTGCCATGTATTTCTGCCACTATATCCAGAGGTAGGTAACCACCATCAGTCAAACCAGACTTTACACCTGGATCCACTGAAGTGTTAATGTTCAGCTAATGCTCAGCTAATGTTCAACATGCTCTCCAGCGCTGGCAGGATAGGTCTGGCTATGTGAGACTAATATTCAGCTAATGTTGCCAGCATGCTCAGTGAAGACCTTCAGCCCCTCCCATCCAATAAGCTGATGAATATTTGAATATGTTATTTGATAATAGACACAGTAAGAATAACAAGAATAATCTCAAAAGGTGCATTTCATTTTATACAATGTCACTAGTACTAGTAAAGTATCAATGTCAGTATGTCAAAGCATGTATTTTTAATAATAGGTTGTGCAAATTAATTTTTTTTTTTGTTCTGCTGCAGATCCCTTATTTATCCATTTTTAATCCGAGGTGGTAAATCGACACCATTTGCCTCATTCGCCCTGGCCTTTGTTTTCTGCCTGTACAATGGCTACATGCAGATCAGATACTTGAGCCATTACGCTGAGTACCCTGCATATTGGGTTACACATCCATGCTTCATCGCTGGTAGGTGTTCTGTGTCTGCTACTCCTCTTTCTACAAGGGAACTAAGACAAGAATTGTTTTATTTGCACAAAAGCTTGTCTGTGACAGGAAGATAACAAGGGATGAATCCAAATAGAGTTGCCAACCTTTTTCAGTGTAAAGTAGATCTGGTTTGGCATAAACTCTCACAAGATTAATTGATTACTTAATTAATTGTAAGTAGTACCAAACTGAAAAAAAATACTTTGTCAATAAACTACTAAAAGTACCAGTAACTTCATAACAAACAACAATATATAAAAGCAGTTCTCGATGAATATGTTTAATGAATGGTTTAATGGTTTACATGTCAAGAGGGGAACTGAGTAAGATGCACAGTCAGGATAATAACAGGCTCCCTACTTCTTACCATCTCGCCCAGCTCATCCCTTCTCCCCCTCTTATTTTCCCTACCCTTCTCTTTCTCTTAAATGAAATGGCAAGACTTTAAACATAGCAGACTTTGAAACTCTTTTATCTTTCTTATCATTTTCCTCTTTTGGCTTTTGCTCCAGTGCAGGTGCCTCTCATGCTTTTTTAAATTCTCTAAAGTGCTCAGCAGAAGTTTTGGCTCCTCTTGCTGATCAAGCAAACAAGGGGATCTGTCAATTCAGAATATATATTTTTCCTCTGTTGCTGTTGCTCCACTCCCCTTACAGTCCCTATCAATCCCTGCATCCAATGTGAAAAGTTACTTTTAAGAATTAAATAAGAAATAAAACTTTAATTAATTAATTTTCAACATTTTACTACCCACCCTTGAGAGTGCAATTGACATTTAAACAAATATATTTCTTACTGACCTACTGATAAATTTATATCCCATTTTTCTATATGTACTGTGTATAGTACTGTACACAACATTAATGTTTTGGCTGACCAGTGTATATTTCAGGCAATAGCCACAATAGGACCAACCAAAATAGACTGTGTTTACAAAAACATGATGAAACTGTATTCATGTAGTGTGGAAATATTTTTTTAATATTTTTGAAAAAAAAAACATTCTTATTTAATTTAACACTCATAAACTCAGCAAAATGTCCTTCATCAGGACTGTGTGGCTGTGTTTTCACCAGATTTGATCGACAGGGGCCTGGCAAAATAAGCAACTATCAGTTCAACTGTCATTAGTTTTGATTCAGATATAGCTAAATCAGCAAGAAGTTGACTGAGAAAATTGATTTTCAGGGTCACAGCAGCAAAATCTCACATGAATCCTGACTGAATACTGTGAATAGATGCTGTAGCTTTTAAAAATACAGCTTGGCTGTCTGTCTGTTGGTCAGTAAAATCTCGTGCTAAAGCAGCTTTTGGTTGGTTCGTCTCCAGGGTCTGTACTGTGGTTTTTCGGCTGGCTGGTGAATGTGCATTCTGACCACATCCTGAGGAACCTGAGAAAGCCCGGAGAGACTGGTTACAAGATTCCCACAGGTAAGCTCTTTAGTCACGAAAACACTGGAACTAATGAGTTTTCTCACCACAGCGAACAAGTACAGTACATCTGACTTTCAGAGACTTCATATTCAACTTTTACTCCACTACATGTTTGCACTTTAACACTTACATGTACTGTATCTGATGGCTGCAGTTATTAGTTACTGGTGCTGCCAGGATCTCACATTAAATACTCACATTCTGCCGTCTGAAGGGGACTATCATTCAGAGGGAGTATTTTAAATTCTGAATTGGAGACATTTACTATTAAAGGCACATTTTACAACATGTTGTTATTTTTACTGAGGTCTACAGTTTGAATACTTTTTCCGTCACTGCTGTGGAGTGACAAGAAAGTCAAGAAAGCAGTAATCACATGGCACAGGACACCGCGGTCTCTGTGCACAGCACTAGATGCTAATTTTCCAGTGTGGTCACATGATTATACAGAATCACACCGTAAGCAGAATCACAGGTTGTCACTAGTTATCTTTTCTTCACTGCCTTGCCCTCTGTGAGCCCTTACATTAGTGTATAAAAAGGTTCTTTTGACTCTGATATAGTCCAAACTCAGCTTGTGTGTAAGTCACTCACAATACATGTAGTGTTGGTGTGTGTACTTTTGCTTTAGCTGACACAGACATAGACATTTTCTAAACCGCACAGCATTGATAGTAATCATGTTAGACAGCAAGCCAAGTCTACACTGTACACTGTACATTATATGTCTCTACATGTCATGGCCAGACTGATTCATGATTCATGCTATATAAAGCATTCAGCCTATGGACTGTAAAAAAAAAAGTGTACATGTTATTACTTTAAATGCTTATTTTTCAAGAGACAGTGAAATAATTTTGCCAGCTTGGCTGCAAATAATTTCAAAACTGGTGACAGTACAGAGAAAGGACTAACATGTATTCTCTCTCTTTTGTTGAAAGTTAGATGATAAGATCAATACCACTCTCATATCTGTGAATTTAGTATGAAGCAGGAGCCAGCCAGACCTTTATCTTAGTTTAGCAGTAAGACTGAAAACGCGAGGTGGGGGTGGGGGGCGCTAAAGCTAGCTGGGCTATGAGCAAAGGCAGTAGAATCCCCACTAAAAATGGCAATTCATGATTTTATGGGCTGGACTGTGTCTTGGCTGTGAGCAGTGACTTCATGCAGACTTGTCATCAGTGTGAAGCTGCCAGGCTCAGTTGGTGCCAAGTTGTTTTTTTGTACATATTAGCGCTTTAGAGATGATGGTAGATGGAATTTTGTTACTTTCAAGCCAGGCTAGCTGTTTCCCCTTGTTTCAAGTCTTTATGCTAAGCTAACTGGCTGCCTGACCCAGGTTCATATTGAATGGACATAAGATATGAACAAGCCAAATAACAAACTGTTCCTTTAAAACAAAGAATGATAGGTCGTATCACTCTGTTTATAACTAGAAAATGAAAATTAATGGTACAAGATGATTAACACTGACAACAGTTGACTGCACTGGCTTGCACTAGTTTAATTTAAATGGTTCTAGACAAACGTAAGCTAAATTTAAGTGTTGATATTTAAAAACATAAGTGAGAAGTTTTAAAGGTTAGGTCAACTACTTATTTACACTCATAACTCAAACATCACCAAAACAGACTGAACATAATGTTTTAACTGTGGACATTTTTTGAGTGTATGACCTTTACTGTGTGAGAGTGTATGCACATTCTGTGAGATGTAAGCAGGGGTTGGGTAAATAAGATTTTGGCCAATCTCCAAATACTTTTTGGCAAATAGCCTTGAGGGCAGCATGGAAAAGTAAAGTAAGATCTGCATTGCTTCTTTTTTAGGTCAAATAATGGGCTTATTCAAACCATACGTTGGATTTTTACTTTGCTAAATGAATCAGTAATCATAACAGGTTCACAAAAGAGAGTGGCTCCCCGGACTAAGAACATAGTCACAACAATGGCACCTTGAGCTTGAACTTGCGGTGAACCTATTAAAACAATCCATCCCGGATTCTTAAGGAAAATAAAGTGGAGAAAGCGAAGCAGGAGGAAGCTGTGAGCTGTGTTGCTCCAAATGAACTTCCAGGCACGTCTGTAATCCCCTCAGCCAAGAATCTGCCATTTTCGCATAGAGGGTAGCAGCACTACCGTGCACATGGCCTGCAGTCAAATAGTGAGTGCTCAGCCATCTATGGTCAGTGTGGACTGAGCTGTGTGGATGCCCTTTAATTTTTTTAACAGCATGTAGACTCAAAATTACACTAAGAGATAGTGGAAATGTCAGTAGTCACTCAGTTACATGTTGAATTGCAGTAGGTGAAAATCCACAGAATTTAAATTTGGTTCCAGAGTAAGAAAAAAGGGCTTTTTGCTTCAGTGAACAAATAAAAGGTTAAGCATACCTGTCCTAATTCCTGTGTCTTCCACCCACAGGTGGAATGTTTGAATATGTGTCTGGAGCCAACTTCTTGGGAGAGATAACAGAGTGGGCAGGGTTTGCTCTGGCTGGCTATTCTGTTCACAGCTCAGCCTTTGCCATCTTTACCACAGTGGTCCTCACCAGCAGGGCTGTGGCCCACCACAAGTAAGAATAATAACACACACACACAGAGTTAGCAGGTTTGCATGGAGTATATCCCACATTTGTAATAATAGAAGAAAATGGCTCTTCCCTCTTCTTCTCTCTGTAGATGGTACCATGCTAAGTTTGAAGACTACCCGAAAAGCAGGAAGGCCTTGATTCCATTCTTATTCTAAAAATACTTGAAACCAGAAAAAGGTACTGTAACAGCTGAGAAGAACATTCTCATAATTTTTCCTCAATTAGGAAAGCTCTGATGTGTGAACAAACCTTGAAGATACTTTTTTTCACTGAGAACAGACTGAAGCACAGGTTGCATGCTTGTAAATGATCTCTTCTGAGCTGTAAGCAAGCAACAGTTAAAAGCCATCATCTTAAAAAGATTTTTATTGTTGCCATTACATTGGTAATAATGTCCATAAAGCACCAACAAACTTCAGCAACCATGAACTGAATATACTGGAAGTGGTGTGCTTGCAGAAGAGGCAACGTTTAGCGCTCCTCCAGAGGAAATAAGACAGTGATTGGAGCATAGCTCAACAGCAATACAGTGGATTTATAACACTCTGCGCCAGCAGTAAACAGTTTAAGACTTCTATGCTGATCTGCATATTCTCCCAGATGGAACATAAACTAGGAAATGCAAAGCAGACATTTAAAGTTTTCATTCGTCCTCAAGAGTCATCTGTTGAAAAACTATCTTTTTAACATCCATTCGAATTAAATAGATGAAAAAGGGACCTTGGATTAACTCTCAACACATTTCCCTGCCTCTTTTTGCTCTGGGTGTCATCAGAGAGAATTATCTAGCTGCCTCATCATCTGAAACTCCTGATAGAAAAGCCACTTTGGAACGAAAGGTAACTGCATCTCTGTCCTATAAAGACCAAGACAGTAGCAGGCCTGTCCCCATCTACTGGGCTGCAGGGAAATCAAATGAAGATCAAGCATGGCCCTCAATAACTCACCCATGCCTGAAATGAGAAGAGGAGAGTGTTGCCTCAATACATCACTCTTGTCAACAGTTCTTAGAAAGAGAGTAAAGAAGAAGAACTGATGAAGAAGTATGTGGAAACAGGAGCATGTATGTACATGTGACATTTATGTTAACATCTCTTTTGCTTTTCTACTGTTTCATACTCATGTTTACCATGAGCCAAACAATCTTGCTGACATGAGTTAGGACTTATCTGGAATCATGTCTTATTTTGTAGTTACTAATGTGCCTAACATTTACAAAATAGGTTTAGACTGGAAACAAGTGCAATTATCACTTCACTTTGGTAAAAATCTTTCACAACTTACATTCATATACAAGTGAAAAACACTGGCTCACTAATGTACCTATTCCATAAAGTGCTGGCTGCAGTTTCTTCCCATAACTCATCAGCTCTCTGTCCCGGTGGAGGACATTTCTACAAAACCTGTCATAGCCAAGGTCGTGTCACTGCAAATTTTAAAAAATGTATTGTATTGAAAATAAACGTATTTTGTCATCATTTTTACACAGGGTGTAATCAATAAATAGTAAGGCTGCTGTATCTGGCTGTGTGTTGCTGAAGGCCATACAGAGTGACATCCTTCATGTTGAAGATCCACGCTGTCTCTCTCTCTCTCTTTCTCTTCCAGGCTATTTCCTCTCTGTATCTTCTTTATCCACGCTTCGTGTAATTGCATCACTATATTACACGGCCAGTATTTACCGAGGCTGCCATCTGACTTTAATACCATTCATCTTCAGCCAGACACCAGTGGATTTACTTTTTATATGCAAACCAACTCAATGAAATGGCTTGTAATTCTCAAACTCACACATTCATTCATGCAGGCAGCAGGTACTCCACAGGGGGAGCTGCTCCGTAATAATATACACATGTCAACCTGTCCCACGTAAAAGAAAGAAAAGCAACAGTTAAGGCCTGCAGTGTCTCCTCCCACAGGCAAAGATAGACTTGCGCCACCTTCAGACAAAGAGAGTCACAGCTGCAGTTTTAATGTTCTTTATAACATCTAATGTAAAGTACATGGGTGCTCAAGTGGCTTTGAGAATTCAAGTTGTGGCTATAGAACACCAAATGCTGGCTTTTTAAACATTTTGTTAATGAGTTTATGGTTTATACTTCTGTCCAAACATGCATGGATGTTTAGTTTTTTTGCCACTAGACCAATACAGAGATGCCTGCTCTGAATATAAATGATTTCAATCAACAGCAATATTTTTAGTTTAAATATTAAGCAGCTATTACAGAACTTTGCAGAAATTACAGTGTCACTTTTATTTTTTATCCCTTTTTGTCCTCATGCCCCAATTAACAATGTGCTGGTTTAAAATAGGTAAAAAAAAAACTAAACAGGATAGGTAGAAAAGATATGCATGAAAAACAAATGTAAAGCCTCAAATATTAACACTAATAGCATCTGTAAAAAAATTAATAAATTAAAGTACAGCTAATGCACTGATTGCCTGTTGGTGGTGCAAGTGTGACAATTAAGGAATCTGTTTTTCCTTGCCTGTAGGTGGCACACATTGGTATGTCTACATCCTCAGGTCTAAACTGCTGTTGTTACTCTTCTTGTCTGTAGGTGCCGCAGGTTGACTGGAACTACAGCTCTGGATCAAAGTCTATGGTCCAGATTTACTTTTCCGGACCCGCGGGAGCTGCTGCTCTGCAGTTGGATGATATTCACTTGGTCCATTGTAGTCATGTCCTCGTTATACTGTACACAACCCCATAGAGAGTCTGACACACCACGGGCAATATGCTCGTGTAGAGATGTAGCTGTTGATGTAACAGTGTAACTGCAACTTTCCTCTAATGTGGGTTAAATATCTAGAAAATGCTGCGGCCTCATTACCATTCAACATGCAGCCTCAGACAACTGCTTGCCCCCTTAATATTATCCGCTATTACTGTTATGCCTGTGAGCATGTTGTTGACTTTTCCAGCCATGTCTCTGTTTATATATATATATATGTGTGTGTGTGTGTGTGTGTGTGTGTGTGTGTGTGTGTGTGTGTGTGTGTGTGTGTGTGTGTGTGTGTGTGTGTGTTAGGCATCTGTCAGCTATGGTCCAGTCGTCACCAATGTGGTAATCCCATAAAAGCTGACAATGAGGCAAACCAGCCTTGAAATCACAAACACACACGCACTGGCACACAGTCAGTGTCAGCGTTTGGCTTGAGCCGACACTGTGACATGAGAGATGAGAGGAATAACCTATTCAAACTGGTGTGTCACTCAAAGCCCTGTGTTTCATACAGTGGAAGATAGAAAGAAGAGCATGGATTTCTACAGGCGTACAGTGGGAGTGAGCAGCTGTGTGTATGCCTGAGTGTGTTACACAAAGAGCTACATATCCTAGCTGACAGATAGTTTGCTCTGGGGGGTTTTCCTTGACTCTGTCACATGCTGCACGTGAGTAGCAGGGGTTGGGGGCGGGCATTATGCAAGAAGCTTTCTCCCTCACTCTCTCTTTTACATGCATATGCATCCCAGAAGGTGCTGGTTATGCTTTATCCAGCCTGCCTCCACTCCATCATAGAGTTTAATGGGCTGGGAGATGGCTGTTACTGGGGCTGGGCGGCACACAGCGCCTGGGATGATCAACACCACCTGCTGTGTATAGCCCCTTGAAAATTAGCTTTTGGATTCAGCAGCCACAGCACACGTGAAATAATAAACAGAAAATTAATGCATTTACGCTTATATAGTGAAAAATTATCTCACTGTGTCCCCCAATGAAATGCAGTGTGAGTTTTCCGCTGTTTGTATGTATGTGAGCAGCCTTTCAAGGGCCAGAGGTTGCGATTATGGCCCCCAGCAGTATTTCAGATGCCAGCTGACAACATAATGTGGGCTTTATGTAAATTGTATTTTGATGAAGAGTTATGTTGCTGCTCTATTTTAGATTTTTTAAGGATTTCAGATGTTTACAGTGAGCTTTTCCCAGTCATTTTTACTAGGCAGAGACGCATGAAGCAGAGCATCCATGCCTGGATTACCCACAGGGCAAAACAGACAGATTCCCTGGGGCCCCAGACTATTACCTGCCCCCAAATCCACAGCTTTGCCTTTATATAAATATGTAACACTGTTCTAGTTTCAGTTTTAATGTGTGCCAAAAACAGCTAGCTATCTGAAGCTGGGATATTAATAGTTGTCATCCCTGCAAGATACAGCCACTGATGAGCCTTATATTGATGGGGATACCCTATGAACCCACCCACTCATTCCCCCCACCCAGTGGTGACAGCCGGGAGGTGGAGATAGACAACAAGGACCTCTGGGTTCCCAGGCCCTTCTTCAAGAGCCACGGACCACAGGACCCGTATTCATTATTGAGGTTCTACGTGTATTTCATTTGTTGTTCAGTTAAATATTTATCAGATAAAAATTCAACTATTTATTCTGTGCAATTCATCAACCGGCCGGAGCGATGAAGGAGTGGGCGGATGGGGGGCGCAGTCATCATTTAAGAAACCCCTCGTAGAGCGCATGCGCATGGATTTGAAGAGAATACGCCATATTGAATTCTCGTAGGAATCGGCTAGCATTTTTTTCCAGCTAGCGGTGCAAAGGGGCCACTTTATCAATGGTCCTAATTCGGTTTAATGTTTAAATACTTCTCTTTTCGTAACCCCGGACAGCGTAGCGGCCTTTGAAAGGTCCAGGGAGCAGCGCAGATTCACTACGGGATCGCTAGCTTCAGTTAGATACTAGTAGGGGGGTTACCAGAGAAAGAAGTTGAATGGATCCGAGGGTAGCTTGGATTCAGCCCGAACAGAAAGGACCTGCGAACGCCTTGTGGATGCACGTCTGGGAGACCTCTCAGGGAGTACGGACGCTCTCCGCTCAGCAACAGCTCCACAATCAAAACCACAACCAGTGTGTCAATTACGCTGCGTTGGATGTTTTAAAAAATGTGGCGACCGCGGTGGCATCGAGCAAGAGCATTTGCAGCAGCAACGGTAACGTTACTGCCAATCGGAGCAACGGCAGCAGCCATCACAGCATCATGAACGGCACTACTAGTATAAACGGCACTGCGATTTCCTCGCTGGGGATAGCACTGTCCAACGGGAACGTACATAACGCTTTCAGCACGGCAAACACCGCTGAACCAGGTGAGGGAAAAATCCTTCCTCAGAAGACGGGATCTGTCTCCTCCTCGTCCTCCTCACAGGAATCCGGGACGGACAGTCCCCCCTCCAGCTGCTCACTTGAGAGGACTATGGGTGTAAATGTATCGGGCAACATTAATAAAAACGTCGGGGGTGCCAATCTGCTCTTCAGCTTGAGCGACAGCATGGACAATAATGTCAACCTTTACCACCACCATCATCACCGTCACCTACAGGAGCACCCGGCTTTCAATTTACAGCAGATCTGCGTGAAGCGTCATCAGGTTCACCCCTCTGTACCTGTAAATCACACACACAATCACCACCCAGGCCGAAGGAAAAGTGACAACAAGGCGAGCACTTATGGGATGAATTACTTGCTTTCAAACTGCACTAATGGCAATTATGCGAGCACTTGGACACCCTGGAAGACGAGGAAGTACAACCCTGGGGTCATGGGGTGAGTGGCTGAACACTCTCACTGCTTTAGGCTTAAAAAGCTAACGTTAACGTTTGTCTGTGGCCGCTAGTCTAATGGCTGAAACACGTTAATTCTCGCGTGTGTGTTGGGTATTATCATACATACGTTATGCATTCGTTTCTCAATGCTGTTAGATACGACAGTACACCCAGCATTGCAGTGTGAGCTGGAGTTGGGCTGTTTGCTGGATAGCTAAAAAGCTGCCGTTAGATCTTTGCGTAAAGGCAGTGATAGACGGCCAGAACGAGACCGGAAGTGCTGTGATTTTTGTCTTTCAAAGTTTGAACCGGGCCGTTAAAAAATAGGAAATTCCAACAAACTACTGAGAGGTATCGTTAGAAAACACACGTTGTGTGAACGTGTATAGTAACATATCACATAATCCAATTTTATCGTAGTGTTTTTCAGTGGGTGATTTATTTAGAAATTTTTTCACCGGATATGTTGCCTTTTAGTGTAGCCGTTTGTTAGCGGATCGAGGAGCTTATAGCTAACTTAGCTAGCGGTTTTCCCTTTTTGGCTCAACATTAAAGTCAGGAAACCAGCAACTAAATAATAAAATGAATATATTGCCCGCGTTAATCTAACTAAATTAAGCCAAACTAGAAAGCAGGGTGAAACTCTAAATAACCTTCCCCAGGTGTTAGCTAACGGGGTTGGATAACACTTAACTTGTGTAATGCTGGTGAAGTAACAGATTACCCCCCACCCCGGGGGAATAGCCAATGTGCCTGGACTGTTCCTAAATCATAAAAGTAATCACTCTGCTCATAATGAGAGTCAAGTTTGAGTATAACGGGAGAAACTTGATGTATGTTTCAGTAGTTTCCACTACATTTCATAACACTGATTAAGAGTGAAGTAAAACTATGAATCAGTACGTAAGGTTATGCACAT